TGCGCCAATATTTTCAAATGAAATACGCCCCTGTAAGAAATCGATTTCTCCACGAAACTGGATAATCGAAACATTGAATAATGGGATAAGGACAAATTATAACACAATTATTGTAATTTTCAAATTATGCGAAAAAAGGTTGCAAAAGAAAAAAAAGAAAAAACAATTGAGTTGATTGTACGTTAAGTATAATTTTGCAATTGTAACGATGTTTTTTTTTTTTTTAAATAAAATTCGCTCTTATGTACTGAAATTGTGTCGAATCGACGAAAATTGTGATCGAAGAATTTCGAGACGGACATGAGAAGATTAGTCATTAATTAATCGTTTTTAGGTACATAGGAACTCAATTATTTAACTATTTAATAAATTAGGAAAACAATTAATTCGTTTGTTCATTGTTTGTGCAATTTCAGTGTGTTGTTCATAGGTGAAGGGGTGCAATATGCATAATAACAAATTTTCCAAGGTCAAGGTGTTGCGTTAACATCGCAGAGTATTAACGTTTTCCGATTGAACGAATCGATATAAAAGCGCTCGAAAATGTGTCTGAAATTCTGTTCTGCATCGAGGTGCAGTAATTTCATTGACGGACGAGTTCAATTCGATTTTTCTATTTCTCAGAGTATCATTTCAGCCAGTTCGAACGACCAAAGAATGTTTTTATCGCAATAGAAAGACAAAGAGGAAAGGATAAACGACGAAGCAGCGTCATCGACAAAGTTGGACACGTTGTAAATCGGCGTAAATGAAAAATAAGCGTGAAAAACGATTATATTCAATGTTTCTTCGATAGCTCTTTTTTTTTTATGATACAATTTTGTATCTTTCGGGTTAAAGTAAAAGAAATTGAATATTTCAGTTGTTTGCTAATTGCTGATACATATGCGCATTGCTTATGATATTTACATGATAAAAATTCACGATTATTGCAAACGATTTTTTATTACAGTACATTATTGTAAGCAACAGAATGATTAATAAACATCAATTAGAAAAAAACTATTACCACCTGTTCGATTACGAACTTTGTTGAAATAACAAACCAAATAATATTTCTTAATGAATCTAACTTTGCAGATGAACGAAGTTTTTGCGTAAAGAATATAACGTTAAACTTCATTTATCAATAATTGAATTCAAATTATCAATAGTAAACAGTCATTCAAATAAAATTTATTTTATCGTTTGCAAAATATAGTCTATGTATTTACGTGACAGATTATTAACGTTATTTATAACAAAATTTATCATCAATAATGTCTACTGTATTATTTCTGTTACAAGAAAACAGTTTGTACCTTATTTTTCTTTTTTTTTTTTTTTTCATCGAGTAAATAACAAGGGATGAAGAAATGTCCAACTCTGCTCCTTCGACCGTATCGTTGTGAATAAAAAAAAGTGACCGACTATATTTCACACTGTATATATAATTGTGTCCACTATAAATTTGAGTCACGATGTACCGCCAGACGCAGCTAATTC